CAATTTGGATGCCAGGAAGTACTTCCTGACAGTTAGGACCCCAAGGGCATGGAATGGGCTTCCATGGGAGGTGGTTGAAGCACCATTGGCAAAGGTGTTCAAGGATAGACTGTACATGCACATGGTAGGCATGTCACGAGTGGAGCCAGCTGGAGCTGGGGATCAGACTAGATGGATCAGGAGACCCCTTCTGACTTGCTCTGTTTCTATGTTTTTAGGTTGGATGGGGGAATAGGACAGATCATTCCTTTTGACAATAGTGTGGTCACTTCTTGCATTAAGGCGAGAGGAGGTGGTATTATGTGCTGCTCCTAAGCAGCGGCAATGTTGAGTTCAGGGTATCAATTCTCCATGATGGGGAGAACCCACTGATGTGATGTTACGGCTTCCCATTTGGGGAGGTAGTTCTTAAGGTGGTCTTTGAATCATGCTGGCACTGAAGGAGGTGGAGTGGTTTGTACAAGGAGTCAGCGATGGTGTCTCTCAGTATCTAGGCACATTTTGCTAGTTTGCTGGAAGAGATGTCCTGACGGCATTGCTGGGGAGGCTGGTGTTGGTGGGAGGGATGTTGGAAGTGGGTTTGGCTGTGGAACGAGGGTGTGCCCCAAGGCCCCTTAAGTGGTCTGGGTGGTTGAGCCAGACCAAAGCCCATCCCCCTTGCTGCCGCTCTGGCCTTCTGTACAGTATCAAGTTTCTTGTCAGTCCACACACTGAAGAGCCCTTCCCCATCAAAGGGCATTCCCTCAATGCTGGACCATGCCCCCTGTAAGAGGTTCACTGCCTGGAGCCTGGCACACCTCTGAATTATCACCATGCAGGCTGTCCCCAGTAAGACAGATTCTCCAGCAACTCTTGAAAGTGCCTATTCTACGCAGAAGTCTCTAAGCATACTGCACACAAGTCTCTGGGCATACATAAAGCAAAATGTTGAACCTTCTCTGCTCCCCTGTACTCAAAGCTTTGCTTATGAATCTTTCTGGGCCTGTCTTAGGAAGGAGCAGTACTGTGGAACTGGGTGCACCTGCATTCTTTACTCTGAGTCCCCACTGGGTCACCCTGCAGCTGTGATGACGGACCTTTGGGTTCTCCTGCTCAGGAGGCTGGACTTCTTCATCTGAGAGATTCCCCATCTACAAATCCCCACTCCCTCAGTATGTTGTTGTTGTTCTTCATTCCCACAGGTGGGTGGATGGGCCCCATGGCTGTCCTTGAAATCATTTTATCTTGAGCAGGCTCAGATCGGTACTGAGAAACCGGGTCTGCAGGTGGAGGCCTGTCCATTACAAAACCAATTCCGTTATCAGAGTTCAAGCTCTCAGCCCTGCTTAGGTCAGCCAACTACCCATCATCCTCATACTCAGAGCTGACAGTCCCACAAAAACGGCCAGCTTCTCATGTGCACCTGGGAATCTTGCCAGAATGCTCAGGAATGACACTGACAGGAGCCCAAGTCACAGTTGACATAGTGGCGTGTGCTATTTATTTGTTGTCTGGAGAGTTGAAGGGTCTCTGTCTGGAATACCCTAGCACCCATCTTTTCCCAGAGAAAGATCTAGTATCTCCTCGAATTTGTTTTATAACTGGAGATATGAAGGCCCATTTCCATTGCCACGTAGACCCTCCTTGCCATTTCACTGAATCACCGTCCTTCATGGTCTGCCAGGGTAGCACGCTCCCGCTGTGATTGTCTCTGCACTGACTCTACGATGACAGAGTTCAGTCACAGATGGTATAATGGGACATCACTCTCCTGAACCTGGTACAAGCTCTCCAAACAGTGGGATGTTGACTGCAGCTGCACTGGGGCCTTCCACAGTTCCTTCATGGAATGCAGAGCATGAGGCCATCAGCACAGAATTCTTTGTCTGGACTGAGTCTACCAGAGACTCAGTGAGCTGCTGAGTCTCCAGTCTAAGCAACAATACCATTTGGAGGACCTGTCCAGAGAACCTTCCCAGGTCTTTGGAGGGGGATCCTGGACCTTGTGAGATGATGTCATCTCAGGATGTTGACAGCAGGTCATTGTAGAGAAGAGGTAGATGGTAATCAGAGGCACAATCGGCAGGATCTGAAGATGAAGAATGGCTGGATGGAGAAGATAGTCTTTGTGGCAGTGCATGCTGTTGTGATGATGGACCGACAGGAGCAGGAGGCCGGAAGGCCAGATCCAGTCTGAGATGACAGGCCGGTGATGGGGCAGCCAGGACCAGTGGCAGGATCGGTGGCATCAGGACCCATGGGTCCTCTGTGTGGTATGTGGATGACTCCCACTGGTAGTACTTCATGTCTGAGGGCCTCTGTTCCCAAGGATAGTTGGGATTGTATGGTCCTGTTGGTGGTGGCAGGGTTCAGTAGGTTTCCCAGTTCTGGGCCAGTGGTGGGGACCTTGACCATTCTGTAGGTTGATGGGTAGTACTCTGGGACTGAGCTGGTGAGGAGGGTCTGTCCAGATGCGGGTTAAGAGAGTGGAAAAAGCTTCATTATGCAGAGCCAACAGATCTAGGTGGAGACAGGGGTGGTGGACTCACTGGGATATGGTGAGGTGTGTCCCATATCTCCCCTTTGGAGAAGAAGTGCATTGCGACTGGTTCCACTGCACTTGATGGAGGAGCTGGTGTTGGGACTGTTGACGGAGTCAGCAGTGAGACTGGTTGTGGGGCTGGCATAGATGTGGTAGCCGGGGCCACCAGCAGAACAGGAGACTAAATGTGCACCAACAGTGCTGATGGTGAGCTGTGTTGGGCCCATTTTGAGGGAACAGACAGGGTTTTGATGAAAAGGGAAGGGACAAAGGAGAGGAGGAAGATGAGCAATGCCCTGTTCAGTCCCTGACTTTATCATGTGGCACTGGGACAGAAGAGCTACCCAGTTAAAGGGTTTGTATAGTTCTCAGAGGCTAGCCCTTCTCCAAAAGGACTCCTCAGCATTACTGAAAAGAAGGGGGTTTGGAAATAGTTTCTAGTTTGGCTTCAACTAATCACACTGTTAATGCACAGAGACTAGTCTTTCAGTTGCTGTAGCCTGTTAGTTGTGTAATGGCAATAGAGAGCTATTTTGCAAGATCATCTGTTGTTTTGGGAGCGTGAAATGAATAAGGGGAAAGCAAGTTCCTAACATACCCTAATTTAATTGGGAAATGGCAATCATAAGCATGCTACTGCACTATTTAAAAATGAATTAAAAAGAAGAGGAACAAGTGTACACCCTTGTCTCAATTCTGTTGTACCAGACACAGTGTTAGATAAGTTGTTTACTATGGCCTACTCTAATTTCTAAACATGTTTCACTGCATTAACTCTGATCATTTTTAATAAATATGGACCACAACAGCCAAAGAGGTGTTGGCAGGAGAGACTGCTGATCTATCAGTAAGAGAGAATAAAATGCAAAAGACCAATTAAATCATTGGTGACCACTTGGACTTGCTGACACCTTGCTTGACTTTCAGCATGCAATACTGTTCCAGTTTAAGTAATTCTCCAGCATTCTAGAGAGATCTGGCCTCCTTAGCTTTCCCTTTCAGCTTTCATTTTACCAATCCCCTTATTTCACACAAGGCTTCTCTTTATAGTCAAATATCACTTTGGTTATCTTCCACTTATATAAGAACTGGTAGTCACTGTTTTCAATTGGCCTAGCCTGAACATCCTGCATTAGCTTGAGGCACCACTAAGGATTAGATCCAGAGTAGTGCTCTGAAGCCCTGCCTGGAATCTGCCTCTCTTGCACCCTTAGGGTTTCTTTCCTATGCTTGACCCTGGCCGAGGAAGTGAGCCAAGCCAAGATCAAGTCTGTGAAGGCTCAGGAATGCTGGCAAGCCCCTTCTTTGAATTGAATTATTCTCTCGCCTAAGTGCACAATTCTCATGTACCCAGCACAATGTACGTAACCCACAACTCGCGCTAAGTGCACATGAACAGTCCCTGCAGCCACTTACAGAGTGCAGTGCTACGTGCTAGCCGTGCATGCATCGCCTCCCCGCCCCATACAGCTATCACCTGTGAAAAGGCATTATCTTCTGGCACCTGCATGGTGCCTGCATGCATTGGTGTGCACAAACACTGTCATGATTGTGTGTGTGTGTGTGTGAGAGAGACCAGGCAGTGGTTCCAACAGCACAGGCATTTGATGGGTGCACAGTACCCAGGTAGCCCCGGGTTGTGGGATGGACTTGGGGATGTGCTCCATTAAATTGGCTTGCACATTACATGCAGCACACACAGAAGGCCCACAGGTCATTGTGTGGAGGCAGTAGTCCCCTTGTGCAGCAGGCGCATGGGCAGTGTGTGCACAAAACAGTATCACTACTTATACCTGCACGTCCGATTCCTCACATATCACTAGTCCAGAGTCACCCTTCTTCTGATTGGTTCCTTGGTATTTTTTCAGGCATAGTCATTTAGGATATCTAGAAACAGTACTTCTTTTTCATGACTAGAACACACATTTATTTATCCAACCTATGTGAGGGTAACTGAATTTACCATTCTTACAATACACTTTATCCTTCAGAAGTGTCTCTTAACTCTCCACCCCAAGGTTACCTAGGTTACCTAGGTGGGGCCTGGCACTGTCGGCCATTGTGACTGTGGAGCAGCCTGCTCCTTTCGCATTTCCACTTTACATGATATGCTCTCTTTGATGTGCTGAGCAACGCAACACTTCTCCCTGTCTTTGCTAACCCTAACCCTCAGCTTTTTCCCACAGTTCAATGTAAAAGCTGCTCTGCTATCTTTTTGATGTAGCTTGGTTCCATGCTGGCTGAAGTGGAACTCATTCATTTTTCCCTATACAAATGCAGGACAGGATTTCTGTTTGTGTGTGTTGCTGTAGTGACTGTAATTCAGCCCCAAGTCCACAGTTCTAAATATGGGTTTGGGGAGGGGGGGGGGAGTCTGAGAAAGGTCTCACTAATATGAAATCATCTTTGTGGAGAGCACTTGATGAATCATCATAAATCTGTCAGCAAAAATAACACAAACAATTCTGTACTGCCTTACCACTGCTGATGCCTGAGTTTGCAACAACTGTCACTTCACTCCACTGGTCAGCACTGGAAACAGAATAGGAACGCTGGTGCATCCCATCAGGTCGACTGTTAAAGGAAACCAGGCTGATGCCACTTGTCATCTGAGACACAGATGTACTAGTAGTCACATTTCCTAGGAATAAAAGGAATTAAAGTTACTGAAGTGAAATGCAAATTCATATGCAGAATACTATTGAATTATGCAAATAATTAACATACATAGCACATTTGTTATCTTTTTTTCTTTTGTTGCAATTCTGTGAGTTACTTCAGTCCAGCAAAATCTTCCTTAGTATACCCTTGTTGTTAATTCAGTTCCCAATTATTCAGGATTGGAAGCAGAGTATTTTTAGGCAGTACTCATGAAGAATAATCCTGCTACTGGAAATGTGGGTAACCAATTTCCACTGGTTCTCCTCCCTCCTGCAGACCCCCGTGCTCTCAGAGGGTTCCTGGACCTTCTCTCAAAGACTGACATGGGGCATTGGAGGCTATAAGGGGAGGAAGGAATCAGTGAAGTTAGTCCCTGTTTGGTTCCGCTATTGCCAATGCTCTGCTGGATCAAAAGCTCCTGCTTCCATCCGCTGTAGACTTGTCACATTCAACCAAAATTGTTTTCAAATAAGCCCATATGTAAGCATTAATTTAAAGCATTTACTTTTTGTCCTTTATAATTTTAGTATCAACCTATGTTTGGTTCTGATCTATTGGAAAAAATACAGAATGAAATTGAGTTTAAGGGATAAGACATAGTGATAATTTTGGAGAACATGTTTTCATATATAGGCAGTCCCTGGGTTGTGAATGAGTTCCATTCCTGAGAATATGGATATTTGTCTTTTAAGTCAAATTTGTAAGTAAGTCAGATTACATACAGTTGGCCCTCCACATTCACAGGGGTTGGGCGTATGGGTTCCCCATGAAAGTGAAAAACCACAAATATCTCTAGCTGCCCCTCAAAGCTCACCAGTACCTCTTCTTTGCAGCAAGGAAGTGCCAGAGGGATTTCCCTCTCCAGATGGGTGGGGCAGGAAGCCATGCTTCTGATGCTTCTCTCTCTACCCTTTCCCTTCCTCTCCCTCTATGGTGATGCTTTGGAGGGCCTCCCTCACTCCCTTTCACTTTTTCTCTCCCTATAGTAATGACAATTTTCTGCAGCAATTTTAAAAAATTAATAGGCTTTATGGCAGTTTGTTCATAAGTTTGGGTTGTTCGTAACTCAGGAACTGCCTGTAATTATTAAAAGTTTAATTATAACAGTGCAACTCCTCTATTGTGATCTCAATCCAAAAAGCTGCCATCCCTGTATGCTGACCCATCAAAAATAAAGTGATGGTAAATTAACAGTGGCCAGGACAGGATGCAAAGAGGCAGATGAAAACAGGTGAAGGAAACCATTCAACTCCACATATTGTCTTCTCTAATATGCATGGTTAATCTCTAATAGCAAAATGAACTACAAAATTTCTGATCTAGTTTCTGTTGCCCAGGACAAGCTTTGAACTATTGCTTTATTCCTCCTACCATTATTACACAAAGCTGCCAGTTTTATGAATATACACAACATTTCTACTCAATGACAAAGAATACAACATCCTCTGCATAGGGGCTCGCCTGAACTCCATTCTCACAACCACAAGCAGACCCTCACCTTGCTGGCCATGTCCATCTGGACTGTGGTTTACTCAACAGCACACACCACCCAGAGATTCCTAGGTCTCATGGCTGCCACGGTGTCAGTGCTGCAACTCACCCAATCTTCGAATGAGATCCCTCCGGCTCTGGTTCATGGAAGCCTTTGACATGGACAAAGATCCCCATAACACAACCCTGCCCCCACCCCCCAGCAATGGTCAGGCAGTCCCTTCAACAGTGGAGCACCACGGACAGCCTATCCATTGGGGTCACCTTCTTCCCCCTGGGGCCATCCATCACAGACACCACAGACACCTCAAACACAAGCTGGGGAGCACACTGCAGCAACATGCACATGCAGAGTCTCTGGGACTGGCCCAAGTTGTACCTCCACATCAAGGACCTTGCCTCCTTCCAAGTCTCCCTGAGGGGGTGCCACATCCAAACAGCCACAGACAACATCACCGTCACGTGAAGAGACAAGGTGGGACACAATCTGCCTGCCTGTCATTGCTGGCATCCATCACCTGGGAGTAGTGCATACAGAGGGGTGTAGCTGAAGCAGCTGAAGGAGAGGTGGGCCTGGTAGCACAGCACTTTTTGGAGTGGGGCAGCTGTGGCCCCTGCTGGTCTCTCCTTCACTGCAGGAGTGGCCCTTTTCCAGGTCTTTCTGATTAGCCATGTGGTTTCCTTGGTTTCTTCTTTCCCTGAAGAACTGGTAACTACCATGAGGCAAACTTGACGCAATATGCCCCCTGCTGGCATATTTGCTTCATGAACACCTGCAGTGTGGGCATGTTTTCATGATGTGTCCCTCACCAAGGCAGAGGAGGAAATGTGGATGGCTATCTGCGGCAGGCAGGCAAGGTGCATCTACAAAAACCTGGGTCAGCCATGCGGAGACAGAGAGAGAGCACATAGAGGGGTCTTTGTCGGCGCCAGGCTAAGACCTTTTTATTTAAGCAACATTTTAAATGCTAAATACAATTGAATTTTATCTGGCCCGGGCGGCTTATTTTATTTTATAATGTGTGTTTTAATTAAGATTATTTTATATGGATATTTTAACTTATTGTTTTATCTATGTTGTAAGCCGCCCCGAGGCTTCGGCGAATGGGGCGGCATAAAAATGTTTTAATAAATAAATAAATAAAATAAATAAAGAGAGAGGCCATGAAGCGACTTTAGAGCAAGGAAGAAGTGGATTAGGCACAGAGAGTATAAAGGTTCCGATCAATGATGCGACTACATGTGCAGTCAAAAAGGAACTGAGAGACTGGACAGGAGCGCCCCCCCCCCCTTTACCCAGAAGGACGGGCATGATGCTGAACTATAGACGTATTTCTCTAATCCAGGCCTTGCGCTGCACGGCAAAGCCCAAATGCGTGATGCACAGAGGCCACAATGAACATCACTCTTCTTGGGGCAATACAGTTAAGGCATCTGCCTTAGCTTCCAATTTCATGGCTTTGTGAAGTCTGGGTCAACATGAGAAAGTCTCTACTCCAAAACTGGCAGGGATTTTGATAACTGAATTTTTATTACTTCAACACAACAGCTCCTTCCATTGCTTCTGCAAAGTACTCCAGCAGGAAGGAAGCTCCCAGCCTAACATCCAAGGCTATTTAATACATGTTCCATGCGTATTTATGCAACACTTATTTCTCTGCTACTGAATTTTTACTAAGAACATAACAGATCAGTCAGCCAGAGCATGAATTCAGTCACTTAATGGGATTCTGCATCTCATGAGAGAGATCTTATTGTAAAGTGGTTCTTGTAAAGCCTTCACATCAAAATCTTACGTGCAAGGGCTGGCAGCACTTTAGCATCTGTCTCACTTTTTCAGTTTATTAGAATTAACATAATATACATGGTCAGCTACCTGGTTTATTCAGAGTTCTGAAAGACTGCCTCTACAAATGCATCATATACGCATCATCTGTTTGCTTTAGTTGATTAGCAGGGGGCAGTTAAATTACTATGCTAATCCATGTATTCTCAGCCCTGGTTCCTTGATATGGATATGTGTATATGCTTACTGGGAAGCCTTGATTAGTTCAAGCTTCAGTGTGTCAAAAGCTCAAGACTCCTTCCAAAGAATAATCTTAGCTGTACTCGCATCTCTAAAATGCAGGAGCTGATTTGAATATGTACGTACCTCTACCATATGCTATTTTTCTTTAACAATTTGCATTTCAAAGTGTTTATTGTATTCATATATGGATGACTATCAGTATGTTGCCAAAAATGGACTCAAATGAACAAGAATGATGCTGGTTTTCTATTGAACCAAAGTGTTTTTCATCTTCCAAAGTAGTATCACAAAAAAGCCTCTGGCACAGGGTTCTTTATTACATTTAATATACTAATCTGATATCCTAACATACATTATTATGGAAAAATTTCCAAAATACTCATCTAGAGCTTCAAAGAACAATTTACCCTTAAATCAGAATCAACCTGATACTGGAAAATTTGGAGGACTGAATAGTCTATTAATTAAGGAAATATAAAAATAGATTATGTAAAATATTTTAATCCATTTAAAGATCTATATGCCACCTCTTAGCAAAGCTTCCAAGGTGCTTAACAAAAAGCAGTTTGCTTAACCTTTCACTTCAAGAATGTAATTTTCATGACCAGATTAGACTACAGCCATGCGCAACGAGGCCTCCTGTGTGTTGTCAAAGGGCCTCAAGGTGGGGCTGAGTCGCACAAGTGGAGAGACCACATATTTCACTTTATGGAGAAAAAACAAGTGGGGATGACAGATTTTGAGCAGGAAAAATGTCTGAGGAATGAGCAGCCCCTTCCCTTCATCAATGTTCCATGGAAAACTGTATGCAGGTTTCCACAGCTGGTTTTCTTTAAACATCCCATATGAAGGATGGTAATACGTACTAGTATGTAGGTACTCTGGACCTGAGTCAAAAGCTACAGCACAATCCCACCCACATCAAAGAATTTAAATCCATTCAAGCCAGAGGAAGTGATTAGAACCCCATTCAAATCAATGGGCTGCACAATCTTTTAAATTTGACTAGATTGTATTTCTAGTATGTATTTGCAGGGAGGGGAAGGTCAAAAAGGCTAACTGGTGTATACACTTCTGGGTTGGTTCTACTCATTATTTAATATTCTAGATGGTAGTAGAGTGAAATATGTGGTCTCTCCACATATCCAATGAAATATTCTGATGTTACTAATAGAGATTCAATCTTTTGCCTAATATGGGGCCTCACTATTATCAGATGTAAATATTTAAAAAAATAAAGCTTTGAAAAATTTCAGTAGGAATGTACCCTCAGAGGTGGTCTTGACATTTGATAGCTGGCCAGCAAGCTTTTAAAATGTGAGTTGAGGAACAAACAATGGTAGAATCTAGATCTGGGAGCCTCCCAAATTCTATAAATTATTCCACAGTTTGCCTTGAAATGAATGCAATGCACATTCTTTCTCCTTAGGAGTTATTTTGTTATAGTGGGAGGTTTTGTA